TCGGATTTATAAATTGCCTCCCGTCAGTCATAGCTTCTCAGGGCTGTCATTGTGTCTTGATCTAGCACTTGCTCTCCACCCTCTTAATTTACGGTGACCTGGGAAACCAAATATTTCCCTCCTGCTAGAATTGTATCTAAAGGCGGAGTGAAATAGCTCTGGGGAGAGTCTGGGAAAGAGCTATTGGATGAAGCTTGCAAGAGATTGGGAAGTTCTCTTCTGAATGGTGCATGCATTCTGTCGCAGATTTTGGCAGCTGCAAAGACTAAATCTTGGTTCCCAGCTGTTTTCTGGATAGTTGAGGTTGCTAGCTTATGACTGCTTTCTTCTCTCTTTCCTCCACTGATAGGCAGATCTACTCTCCCACCCTTGCCAATTTTGGAATCGAAAGGAGAGGATGAAAGTTTTCTCAGGGAAAGTGAGAAGAAGGTGAATGAAAGAAAAAGCTGTGACTGAGGCAGGGGCTTCAATTATCTGTCAACCACTGTTCTTGAAACCTAAGATGTACCTGAGCCCTGTGGAAGATACGGGGAGGCGGAGGGGGTGATGATGGCGATCCTGCCTTCATGAAGCTTCATGTTCTGTTGGGAGAGAGAACTAATAGACCTGAAACCCTCAGTTGAAAGTGGTAGAGACTTTTTGCGTTGGGCTTGAGTTCAGAGAAAGTGACTTGAGTCAGGAACGTGGAGCCAGCAGTGTGGGGCTCCAAGTGGTAGGTGGCCGTGCAGTCCAGTATCCATGGGAGAGACCAGATACATTGGGAGGCCAAGGAGGACGGTGAGTTGATGAAACCCCAGTTAAGAAGTGGCAGCGGCGATGGAGAGATTTAGCAGGACATCTGGTAAGTCCATTTCAAAGGCAGAATTGATGAGGGTCCCAGACTGTGTATCGTGTCTGTGCGCTTGGTTAAAATGCAGACTCTTGGGCTTTTCTTTAGTTTGGGGTGGTGCCCAGGAATAGTCCAGGTCTTTCTGGTACAGGTGGCAAAGGATGAGTAAGGCAAAGCTGATTAATTCCCCCAGGAGAGACAGAAATCGGAAGGAGGCATCCAAGGTGGACAGCCTGGTTTTTGTCACTGTATTACAGAGCAAATAGAGAGCAGGTAACTAAGAATTACGGAACGTGGAAGCGAGAGCGAACGTAGCTCCTCAGCTGGAGATAGTGTTCCCGCAGGCAGTCCTCACCCTTCACCCAGGGACGCAGGCTCTCTTTCTTACCCGGTCATTGTCACATCAGAGAACATCATGATGCTAATAGAAATCACGTTCTGGTTCAGCCCTCCTATGAGCCAGCGGTTTTGTACCTAGGAGAGCTCTGTGCATTGGGCATTGTAACACCAGGCAGAAATCCTATAATGAGTGCGTGCTTTGTCACATTTGGTGAACAAGAAAATACGGATTGCCAGTAAAAGAACACACAGAAGCTGCTAGTGCTGTTATTAGACGAACTGAGAGAAATCATAGTGGTAAATAGCTTAGTAGTTTCTTCGCATGTGAAAGCCATCATGTTACATCACTTCTCACGTAGTAAACACTCGACAAAGGAATGTTCTTTACAGATGAGTTTTGATACCTCTTGCCAACTCCATGATAGGGGCCCGCCAGCGCTTACTTAGGTAGCGAACAAGCCAGTCTGTCCCCACTCCTGTCTTCTCCCTCAGCAGCGGGGGGGGGGGGGGGGGTGTGGGGTGCACCTCCAGGCCTCACTTTGCCCCAGAGATCTCACCAGCAGGTTGTTTCTTCAGTTTCTTCCAGCTCTTCTCTCAATCCATCTGTATGTCTCCCATCCTCCCAAGAGAAAAAGGAAACCCCCGAGGAATAGGTCAGGGGCTATGCATCAGAATCAGCGGGTCAGCCTTAAAAAGTACCAGCACCTGGGCCCCATGTCCAGAGATTCTGTTTCATCTCTTCTGGGCATCAGCATTCTTAAAGCTCCCCAGGAGATTCTGACGGGTGGCGAGGATCGAAGAAACACCTCAGATAGTTGACAGAGGTAACAGTACAGGGTACTAGCAGTACACCCGTCTCAAGGAAAGTAAAAGCCTCAGGATTTGACATGGACATTGATATTTTTAAATAATGCCTTTGGCCACTCATGCCTCAAGTGTGACCCAGATCCCCACAGAGTTCTCCTTCACGCTACCTTCCTTCTTTATTGGAGCCTGCTTCCTACAAGCACCAGCATTCCAATGAAACAAAAACGAGAGTGTTCTTTTATTTGCTCTAGGATTTCTGGGATATTGTTTTCCACCCTGTCTGCACAGTTGAGGGTGACGGGAGCCCCCTGACGAACTCGGAGATGCAGCAGGTTGTGGCGGAGTGCCTCCTGCACGCCGTCTAACCTCTCCAGGACTCGCTTTCTGGCGCAGCAGCATCCGTGCTGGGGAGCCCTGTCCACCGGAGGACAGACGGTCACAGGGAATCGGTCACATGCTGTGAACCATGAATGCCTAGTCTTTGTTTTGTGGTCTGAGGAGGCTCAGTGTTACATTTTTAGGAGGATACTTGAGAGAGAAAAAAATTTTACTTCTATTGGATAAACAACTTAGAAGTCTCTCTGTTCATCCTTGAAAGAGAGGGATGACCAGGAGGTAAACCCTAATAATTCTTCTCAAAAACATTTTAAGGTTGGTTTTTTTTTTCTTCTTGAGCCAATTGGAAATTAGATCTGAAAACAAAAAGCCCTTGAAGGTCTTCATTCAGTTAGTCTCTAAACTATTGTGTTTAGTTCCATAAAAATTCCTTCAGCAAGTGTATTTTGTCATCTTTTGCGTTTTACCTGAGACTGTTTTGTGGCCTAATTTGTCAAAACTTTCTTGGGCCCATGCTTTGGATTGTGTACTGAAAAGGCCTTGAACAGAGACATGTCAAAACCAAACGAGTAAAAAGTTCCATCTTTTTGCTAATTTAAAATAGATTCTGAAGGACAAAAAAAGGAAAACACAAGGCGCAGTTTCTCCCCTGCGTCCGGTCAGTGAGTGATGTAACTGTAGTTATAAGTAACTTCTCAAACACCACCCAGAGTTCCTCCGGTCCCCTTGACCTCCCTTTCTCCTTTCTGTAATTACCGAATACAGCCCTTAAAACCCATGTAGGACCAAACACAGAATGTAAGCTCTGTGATCTCATCCCCACAAAAACAGGCTGCAGGGACCATCCTTGCAGGAAGCCGCCTCGCCTTGGGACCTCTGCAAGCCCGTAATTTACAGTGGTGCCTTTGCGGTCTTAAAATCAGAAAGCACGCATCCCCTGCCCTACATGCGCTGCTGTAGGTGGAGAAGGGGCCAGAGAGAAAGGATGTGTGAACATGACCTGTGTCACTCGTCTGTGGGTCCTCTGGGCAGAGGGTCTGTCTGGCAGCGGCCATGTTGCGGCTGCGATGGATACCCTTTCCTAGTCTGCCCCTTGTGCTGGAACAAATGAGGAGCCCGCCTTCTCTGCTGAGGTGTGCTTTGTGGAAGGAGCTTGGCTGAGTGCTGGCGGCAGCTGGGAGACGGATGCTTCCCTCCCTGGCTGCCAGGGCCCTCAGCACAGCGGCAGGTGATCCTTTTTATCAGCATAGGAGGACACCTGGGATATCTGAGCTGCTATTCAGCAGGTGGTGCTGTCCTGCAGTGAAAGCTTCCATGCTGCCCGTGAGGTCAGCGAGCTGGCGAGGAAGGGGCCCGGGCGTGTGGAAGCCTGGGCAGCATGAGGAGATGAGGCCTCTCGGACGAAACTTCACACCTTGGACTCGGGGGACCACCTGGCTCGTGGCGGGGTCTCCTCTGCATCCTGCTTGAATGAGAGCTCCGCTGACTCTGAACTGGGGGGGTCGGGGGGGGGGACGGAACCCGTCCCAGGCATCACCTGGTCTCCTCCCAGAGCAAAGTCCTCCCAGAGCAAAGTGCCCCGCGTTCCTTCTCATCTTTGAAACCCTGGTGGGTAAGGGGGTGTGGCATCGGGAGCTCCTCATTAAACAGACTTAAAAGGGAGGAAAGGCCCCAGCCAGCCTCTGCATGCCAGAAACCTATTAGTGCTCAGGTGCCCTGCTAAGGGGGTTTGGTTGGCCCAAACCTGACCGCCCACGTTTTTGTCCTTTTTTGGCAACAGAGCCCAGCCGCGGACTTGGGTGAGGGCTGGGTTGTCCGTGTGTCTGAGCATGGACAGCCCCCTTGCAAAGGGACTTTTCCCAGGGTTGGTGTGGCAGTATGTTTCCCAGGGAAAGACTGAGTCAGTCATGGGAAACCTCTGGTTGGAATTCTTTAGTCAACACACACGATGGGGCATCCGCCTCTCCCTGGGATCAGAGCAGGAGGAAGGTGTAGGGGACGGCAGGTGAGACCAGCGCTTGAGAAACGGGTAGGAGGGGAGGTCAAGGCAGAAGGAAGCAAACGCTGGAACAAAGGCCCCAGCCAGGTGCTCTGAGTGCAGGGGAAGGACTGGTGACACCTGAGCTGAGTGTGGGGGAGGGTTATCTCCAGGGTGGGAGGGAGGTGTTCAGGATGAGGGGAAGGGGAGAGCTAAAGCGTGAAATTGGGGGGTGGGAGGCGGTGTTCAGAAGTGGTGAGTGTAGAGAGCTGGGACCTGTGAGGAGGGAGGCAGGAGGAATGGGAAGGAGTCATTCTGGAGAACCTCAGAAACCCGAGTGTCAGAGGGCTTCTTGGCTCCTTATCTTAAACCTGAAACATCTCATTGTGTGCTGGGCTGTGAACCCACCGGCACCCCTTAAGGAGAAAAACCTGAGATGGTGGCGGAGGTGAGTGGGACCCTTCGGTGCCTGGCTCCAGGCCAGGGGCTTTCAGTGAAGGCCCCAGGCCACCTTGAACAGAAGGTTTCAGGAGTTTTCTCGGGTTTGCCGGCCCGTCACCCTGCTCTTCCCTTGGTGAGCAGTCCGTGGATAAGCTGCTGTCTCTCCTCCCCACCGCGGCTTCGTGGGGACTGTCAGGAGGATGTAGCTGGTGTTGCACACTCTGCCGTGTGTCTCAGTGTGAGTGTGCTGACAGGCTTTCTGTTTCCCAGTTTCCCAGCTCTCTGTGGCCGGCTTGTCCGGAGCAACTTGGCCGGTGCCCCAAGGAGACAGCGCCTCTCTGTTGCGAGCCAGCGGAGCCTGGGGTGAGGCGAGGTGAGGGGCCTGTACCGACAGACCAGCCTTTCCCAGGTACGCTATTTTCTGAAAACTTTGAGGGCTTTGAGGGTAAACCTGGTTTTTATTCATACGAATTGAAGGATAATTTAAACACTGTCTGAGTTACTATGTTAAAGTCCTCTTGATAATATGGATGCTTCAGTCCATTCTTTTAAGACCTTTCTAGTTGTACTTAGCTGTGCCCACTTCAGGGCTTTTTGGTCTCTGTATAGTGTCTAGCACAGTACTTTCCCACTGAAAACATTTCATGGGTGTCGAGTGAATGATTTACTATCTTTGGCCTACAGTTGGCATACATAGAAGCACAACTGATCAACGCTGTTCAGATTTTTAATACAATGGGGCCTTGACTTAGGAGTGTCCTGACTAATGAGTTTTTTGAGATACCAGCTGTCTCTCGGCCGATTTTTTGCATTGAGTTGATAGAGTAATTTGAGTTAACGAGCTCCTTAACGAGCTCGGTCTCGGAACGAATTAAACTCGTAAATCAAGGCCCCACTGTACCGTCAGACTGGCTGTACATTTTTTATCGTTATCATGCTCCCGTTCCCCCTTCCCCGTGAGGAACTCTGTGAAGTTTAATTACGAGCCCCTCTTTGGCTACCTGGACACAAACAAGGGGACATTGACAACCTGCCTTACCTCCCTGCGCTTCCCCGTGGCTTTTCAGGGTCACACCAGTTACAACGGGCACAGGCTCTGCCTCCCGCCTGTTTTGCAGGCCGTCCTGTAACTCATTCCGAGCTGTGTGGTCCCCTTCCCCCAGGTTTCAGGGAGGATTTCTGTTTGTGTGGCGTTAGGAACGCCAGGGCAGTTGCTGGCCTTCTGGCCTGTGGTTTTCCTGTACTGCAGCCTGACCTGTATGTTGCGAAACAGAAGTGCCTACTTCAAGGGATCTGGTCAGACTGGAGGTTCCTGGTGGGTCATTTTTGTTGTATTCATCTTTTATTTGCATTCCCTGTCTCCAATGTGTAGCATGTAGTGGGGTTCAAATATTTCCTCCTTCCTCTAAGCCAGTGGTTCTCAACCTTGGCTGCACATTAGAATCACCTGGGAATCTTTTTAAAATCCTGATTTCTGGGCCTCATCCTCCGGAAATTCTGTTTCTTTGTTATGGGGTGGGGCCACAACATTAGTAACAAAGAAACAGAATTTCCGGAGGATGAGGCCCAGAAATCAGGATTTTAAAAAGATTCCCAGGTGATTCTAATGTGAAGCCAAGGTTGAGAACCACTCGGCCTAAGCAGAGAGAGAATTGGCTGAGAGCAGTCTCCAGCCCCATCTTAAGTGAGCACAGCTTGGAGGACCGTCCTCCTGTATGCGCAGCTGCTTGCAGTCCAGGCAGTGGGGTAGGAATCCGAGGACAGAATGGTTAATGCGGGGGAGGAGGGGGCGGCACTGAAAACCTCACCGGTCCTTTCTCTGTGCCTGTTGGAAGTGCTCCTCCACAGGAGGTGGGCGTCAAGGTTAAAGCTGCTTCCAAACCTCTGAATTCTTGAGACGCCCATGTGATACGCAGGTGCACTCTGCCACGTGTCTGGTGTGGCTTGCTAGCAGGATTTCCTATTCTGCACTCACCCCTCCTGCCATGCCCTGTTCATCCATGAAGAACAGAGCAGCCACATTGCTCCCCAAACTTTGGGGGTGGTCCTTCCAAAGGCAAAGCTTCTCCACAGGAGCCTGGCAAGGGCGTACATACCAGAATCTCCCCTGAAGCTTTAGAACTGGGGATACTGAGACGCGCCCAGGTGTGCCAAGTTGGAGTTTCAGGCGTGGAGAGGGAGTCCTTGCTGGGTAGGTTTGTTTCTTTTTAAAGCTCCTCAAAAGACGATGTGTGTAACTACTTGAAAAATATTTGTCTGTGGAATAGACTTAAAAACAAAAACCTCTTTCTTAGCCTGAGCAGATGTTTGGGGGGGAATTATTTTTGAACTCTCCTAACTAGTTTCACCAGTTTATACTGCCAACCCAAACATTCCCTTGTTGTGCCATAATTTGCATCGCAGAACCATTTTATAACTTTAATTTAAAATTGCCTGTGACAACACTTTCTACGGTTGTAAGTATACAAGGACATTGAAGAACAATTTACTATATTTAACAAGAGCTTAGGTTTATTTAGAAATCCAGGTGGGAGTCTGCTCTCATGGAATTTTACCAAAGTATGCATAGATTTGCATATTGAAGCCAAAGCCTTTTGACCTGTGGTAACACAGTTCTGAAAGTAACATTGAAATAGCAATTTAAGTGTATTGCCCTTAGAGATTTTTTTGGCCAGGACATTTATTTAGTAAGTTATACTTTTTTTTTTCCTTCTCCAGTTTTTTGGGTGGCAGAGAATTACCTAATTTTTCTTTTCTCCTTCTCTGGGACCAACTTTAAGTAGGTAGGAGCTTACTAGGAAAGATAACTTTAAATGGTTTTTGTGGTTTTTAACTAGGTCCCTTTCTATGAAAGAAAATCTTACAACCCATTCTTGGGTGAGGTTTTAATAATATGATGGGTTTAATGGGAAATGGGGAGTTTCTATTTTGAAATCACAGAATTTTGCCATTGAGGAGGCACCTTACAGAAGACCTATCATCTGGTTTCTAAGGCCGAACGTCATGGAAACTGCTCTTGTGAAGGTCACAGTTGGCCTCTGATAGGACTCTAACATGCCTTTCCTGCAGCGCTCCTCATTTGCAACTTTCTCCTCTGGGTTCCTGTGCACCATTCTTGACTGCTTTTCTTTTCCTTTCATTTCTTCCTAGGTCCTGCTGTGTCTGCCTTTACATATTCCCGTTGCCTGGGCTTTCATCCTTGGTGGTTTTCTTTAGTCTTCTCAGCCTCTTTGGGGGACCTCAGGGCTCCCATGACTTCAACTGCCACCCACATGTTAATGGCCCTCAAGTCTCTCTCTGATTCACCCTCATCTCAAGCAGTCTTTTAGGGATTTCTACTTGGATGACTCATATGTTCTCTTAACTTGTGATATCCAAACTGAATAATTTATCGTCTAATTATTGCCTGTCTCCTGACCTGTAACCCCCACCCCCTGCCCCCAATCCCCTCATCCCCATGCTTCTGTCTGCTTTCCCACTTGGGTCATTGGCACTATTCAAGCCAGAAGTGTGACTCATCCTTCACCCTCCCCCAGTCAGCCCCATATTTTAATTGGCGATTCAGGCCTATCATTTTAATGTCCCAAATAAGAGAGGGAAAGGCCATTCCACTGACATTTTATTATTATGGGCTTTAGAGGTTGTACTTGGGCCTATAGCAGCAGCTCTAACAACATGAGACAATTTTGACTATTTATGTAGTTTATATTTCATGCTAAGCATAGTCCCAGGTACTTCTCACGAGTTTATCTCTAATATTCACAATGATTCTGTGGTATATTATCTCTGTTATAAACGAGGAATCTAAGCTTCACAGAGATTAAGTTATAGCCCAGGATCGAAGGGCATGTAAAGCACAGTGGAGGATTTGGGGATTTTAAACCTATGGGCTGGTCTGCCTGACTCCAGAGCCTTCGCCATCAGGAACTGCGTTGTTTTAGACTGGTGAGTAGGTTGACTTTGTTGAGGGCAGGAGCTGAGTCTTATTCATATTGGTAGTGTGTCACTATACTTTTTTTCTCACATAGGAGGTGCTAACGACAAGACCCTTAATGGCAAAGCCACGATCCGTGTCTTCATCCGGGTTCCATCCCTGGCTCTATTAGCTGAGTGTTAGCTGTGCTGCTTGAGATTAGGGTGGTGGGATCATGCTGCCGTGTCCTCAGAGGGGTTTTTATGAGAATCAGAAGGGATGGCATAAGGCAGTGGTCGGCAAACCGCGGCTCGCGAGCCACATGCAGCTCTTTGGCCCCTTGAGTGTGGCTCTTCCACAAAATACCACGTGCGGGTGCGTACTACAGTGCGATTGAAACTTCGTGGCCCATGTGCAGAAGTCGGTTTTCGGAAAGGAGATAGACGAAACAACTATACAAGACGAGTGTGGATGGGAGAGTTGGAAGGGGTCGACCTCAGTGAACGTACCTCAATCAGATTGAGGACGTTTTTAGCAAAGGCCAGCTTAGGAGTACCCTAATTAAGTTAATAACAATGTATCTACCTATATAGTTTAAAAAATTTGGCTCTCAAAAGAAATTTCAATCGTTGTACTGTTGATATTTGGCTCTGTTGACTAATGAGTTTGCCGACCACTGGCATAAGGGAAAGTGCTTTAAAATTCAGGGATATCTTTGGGAAGTTCTTTTTCGTTGTGGACGTCAGTCATTGGCCCACTCAGGTGCGCCTCTCTGAAAGGTGGCCCAGAGGATTCGTGTTTTGTTTTCTCATAGGTCTCTCCTTGTGTCCCATCCTGAGAAGAAAACGCTGTTTGCTTTCCTTCATAGCTCTCCCCTTCCATCATATTGTGGTAACAAAGTTTGTCTGAGGAGAGGGTCCCCTTTAATGAATACATAAAACCAATTTGTCATTGTGGAATTTAGAAATCATTTAACCATTCTGCATCTATATTTTTATTTTATTTAATTTTTAACAGAATTGCCCTGTAACATTTGGGGTAATGTGTATTTTATAGGGTTGTTTTAACTGCAAAGTGACGGAGATAATGATGATGGCAGGTCCTTGGTGAGGAGTGGCTTTTACTGCCCACATTTAGTTATCACAGGCCTACATTTTCAGATCTGAAAGGCTTAAGCCAGCCTCTGAAGACAGGATTCAGGAAGAACTCCTGTGTGATGCAAAGGAAGGGAGGAGGGTCTGAAGCAGGAGCGGCATCGTCATCAGCTGGGACTTGTGAGAAATAGAAAGTCACACATAAAGTCTCCATACCACACCTGAAACTCAGAGACTCTTAAAAAGCCCCACAGATGACTCTGATGCACTGTATCTGGGCTGACGTTAGAGAAACCAGGCTGTGGGCTTTGGAGCAGTCCCGTGGGATAGTGAGGGCCTCCCCAGGATGGTGGGAGGGGGTGGAGAGGAGATGGATTTGGTGGGACTTAGTAACCCGATTGA